ACTAAGCACATGAGTCAGTAATCACTAATGATTTCTCACTCGTCATTTTGTTGATAAAATCTGTGATTTTCCCCTCGTAACGTTCGTCTCCTCCTTTCTTTACAATATCTTAAGAATAACTCACTCAATGCCTTCAAAACTGTTGCTTCCAGGATCGACCTTTTCTATATACAGTCGGGCTAAACCAGCTGCTCACTCCCCCTTGTGGTTTGGTTTAGTGCCACTCATACTTTATCGCGTAGCACACTGGAGACTGGTAAGGTAATGCCCAAATATGGTGGTTCTATTGTCATCAATGGAGAAGAGAATTTGTTATAGAACTTTGAAGTATATGCTCTATTTTTCATCTGTTTTTTACTCCTTCCAGTTTCTAAATGCCCTAGAGATGATCTGGCTTAATCATGTCACATGACAAGGTGGTAGTCCTCAATGATCCACCATTATACTTGTAAAATTTTATAGACAAGCTTATATTTTAAACCAGCAATGACCTTGGTTGCCATTTTTCTCTGCTCAGCAAGGCAACTGAGCATTTGCTGGTTGAGATGGTTTGTATGATTAAGCTACATGTAATACAAATATGAAATAGCTTGTCCTTTAAGAACATGCTGTTACTAACGGTCATTATTTGTATGTCTGTGGCTCATTAACTTGCTGATTAGGGTATAGCGATAATAAGGTTGGCATGTATAGCTAAAAAAATCTTGGACTATCAACAGGACTTTGGGTTGGTTGGCTAGAGAGACTTCAGTCATCTTTATGCTTGTTGATAGGCAGACCATAGTACAACACTGACTGTGTTGAATGGTATATGTATATATACATATATATATACACACACACACACACACACACACACACACACACATATACATATATAATGTATATATATATATATACACACACACATATATATATATATATATAGATATATATATATATATATAGTTGATAAGGTTTCATGGGTGGTAGAAGGCATACATTTTATTTTACATTTAAAGCCTCATTTATTAACATTCATTTAAAAATTTTGAGTTGTAAATTCTCTCCCTCCCCCGACACCTGTTGAGAAGGCATGCAATATATCAATTATACATGTGTAGTCATGCAAAACGTAGTTCTACTTTAGGAAGACATACATTTTAAAGCATTTTACATATATTAACTCATTCTGTGTCAAAGTCATGTGAGAAAGTTTCTAAAGCTATTAAAATTATTTTACAGGTAAGAAAACTAAGATTCAGGGGGCAGCTAGATGGCACAGTGGATAGAGCACCGGCTATGGATTCAGGAAGACCTGAGTTCAAATCTGGCTTCAGACATTTGATACTTACTAGCTGTGTGACCCTGGGCAAGTCACTTCACCTCATTGCCTAGGGGAAAAAATAGTCTAAAAAGAAAAAAAACGAAAAAGAAAAGAAAACTAAGGTTTAAAGTTAACTTATTTGTAGTCAGATAGCTAATAAGAATGAGAAATAGCATTTGAAACCAGGTCATCCTGCCTCCACTTTCAGCATTCTTCTATATCATGCCATGCTTTTTCTCTACCCTGCCATGTTGAAAATGTTTAGCTCAGAGAAGATAAGTTTTATGTGGGGAAATGATTGGTGTCTTTAAGTATTTCGAGGGTTGTCATATGGTTTAGTGTTTGGATAGTCAAAGAGAAGAGGGGAGAGGCATTAGAGATCTGAGCCAAGATTGTAGATAGTCAGAGTAGCGAACTAGGGAACTAGAATGACTGAGGTGGAAGGCTTAGCCTGTTTGGCCCACAGGGCAGAGCTAGAAACTATGGGCAGACATTAACAGTAGACAAATTTAGGTTCCACATTGGGGAAAGACTTCCTAAACATGAGAACTGTCCAAAGTGGAACATAATCCTTTTCATTTAGGCATTCTTCACCTTTTTGTGTGTGTGAGCCGTGAACTCCTTTGGCAATAGTCATTAAATATTTGCTAATTAAAAATAAATTTACTAACCACCTATTATGTTCCAGATACTGTGCTAATCACTAGGGATACAAAAAAGAGGAAAAGATAGTCCCTGCCCTCAAAGAGCATACAATTGAATGGTAGACAGGTGAACAAAAGTAAAAATATTTGGTGGAATCTATAGCCCCCTTCACAGAAAAATGTTTTTACCTAACTGAAGGAAATGCCAAATTATTGTTAGAGGTTAATGCAAATAAAGATGTCATTTTTTCCATCCAAGTTCATGGAACCCTTAAATAAAGGATCGCAGATTAAGAATCCCTGCTCTAGAGTGGCGGGTTCTCTTTCACTGAAGGTCTTCATCAAAGGCTGGATGACCACTTGTCAGTATGTTTTAGAAAGGGACTTTGAAAAGCTTATTTTGAACTAATTGGTCTAAGTGTCATCCTTTCCAACTCTAAGATTCTTGGAAACATTTTACTCATCATCCTCATTTAAAATATTTACAATTTCTATGAGTTCTAAACTGTTTGGTAGATTTATGGGACAGTGATAGGCTTAATATTCTACTATGTCAGTGATAATTTCTAACCTTGATTTAAAATATTTGCAAGTTTGTTTTCCAAAAAATTTAATCATCTTATGTAACCCAATTAAATCACAAATGTCATAAATATCTGTTATCATAGGTGGAGAGGAAATCTATCTGTTATGCTTCTGGACTTTGCCCTGTATTCAGTTCACTTTTCTTTGCTAAAGAAAGAGTATGATTCTAATGAGAATAATTAGTTGCAAACTTCTCTCTTGAGGGACTTTATCAACTTCTAATGCATATACTGACTAGGAGGAATTATGTTCTTAAAGAAGATCAGATGAGTTGTTGATAATGCCAAATGAAGAGTTGGAGCTTGGAAGAACTATGGTATATTGTCTCCCTTGGTCCATTCATTAATTGAGTTAACGGATTATTTTCTTTGAACTGCCTATCATCAGAAGCTCCAGTTGGAGGTGAAGGAGAGTGAGAGTTACTAATGGAGCTTATCACAGGGTCTTTTGCACTCAAGAACCTTATGATTACACTGGGGAGACAAGATTCACCCAATGAAAAAGGTACTTAAGTGCACAGATGACTGTCACATGAGAACCTTTGGGGGAGAAAGAACAAACCAACAACCTAGATCTTTGAGACTTTTTTTTTATGGCTACAGAGGTAGAAGAGAAGGTCTGAAAAGCATCAGCAGCTAAGGCTATCTCAACTGTGGCAAACTACCAGGTGGTGCCAAAAACACTACTTTCATGCTGCCTGAATTTTTTTGCAATACCACCTCAAAATGTGCTGATTATACTTTTTTATTTTGTTTGTTTATGAAGCACATTGGTAGGGGCAAGAAGGGGGAGAGATTTATCCTATTGCCCAAGGTTTAGGTATGTTCTAGTTAGGGGTACAGGGCAACATGAAGCTACTAGGATCCAGGGGAGTAAATTACTACCAATAGTACCAAAAGATGGGAAAGGAGTACAGAAAGCGAAATTGGAGATCACCAAAGACAATCTTAACCAGTTTTGAAATTGTGCCTGGTGCCCTAGGCCAGCCTTGTTCCACACTAGAAAGGGAGGAAAGAAATATGTAGTTTCCTTTTCATTCTGAGCTATCTGGTACCTGTCCCAACCTTTTTCCAGGACTGGGAATTCAGGCAATTACTAGCAATCAATCAATCAATCAATAAAGAAGCAAATAAATGGAGAGAAAATAAATAGCTGTTAGTTATTTACCTATTCATCTAACATTTCTGTTGTACTTTAAGGTTTGCAAAGTGTTTTGCATATGTTATTTTATTTGATTCTCACAACCATCCTGTGATATAGGTGCTATGATTATCCCCAATTTACTGATGAAGAAACTTAGGTTATGTGACGTACCCTGGGTCACACAGCTAGCAAGTATCCGAGTTGGGATTCAAACACAACTCTTCCTGACTCCGAGAATAGAACTCTGTCTGTTATGCCACCTAGCTGCTCAAAGGTCATGTTAATGGTTAGATAATCTTGCATAAGACATCTGGGCATTTAAACAACATTTATAATGCTTCTGTGGAGACAGAGTTCTGAGTTCTAGTTGTTTTTTTGTTTGTTTGTTTTTTGAGTTCTAGTTTTTAAAGACTTTGGAAAATGGTTTCCAGCAGGCAGAACCACAAACAGATGCAAGTCTCAGGAAGATTTTGGTTCCACTTAAGGGAAAATGTCCTAAAATTTAGAGCTGGCCAAAAGTAAAATGGGCTGACAGCAGGTAGGGAGTTTTCCCCTTACTCGGGGAATCTTCATGTGAAGGCTGAGTTTGAGGATGTTGTAGTGTTTTGTCAGTTGGAACTAAATGATTTCTGAAGTTCTCTTCCATTTCTGAGATATTGTAGCTCCATTTGTGTCATGTTGTGGAAAGCAAAAATAGCCAGAAGAGATGGTCTAGTATTCATATTGTCAGAGAAGTGAGCACACATATGTCCTTCTAGGTGTGAGCAAAGGCTTGGAGATAGAATGCTCTGATGAAGAATTTAGGGGGAGTTTTTTGAGGGGTTAAGGGATCAAGAATAGTTTTAGAAAATATCATTATAAACTATTATACATTTTGAAAATATGTAACCATAGATTGTATCTTATTTTAAATGTATTTTATGGAATTGCTGACTTAACAAATGGATAAAATAGAGTAGATTCTATGAAAATCAACTAATAAAATTTTAAATCAGGTTTTCTACTCTGGAATAGAGTATTAGAATATATGTGTGAGTAAAGAGTGTTTTTATAGTCTAACTCTGTTAGACACTGTTAAGATTTAGATGAAGTGAGAAGTACTCCATATATTTTTACTCTAATGGCTCCCCAGTTTATTTGAATGTCAGTGTTAAGGTTATGGTTTTTTTTTAATGAAGACTTCTGTAGATAAACTTGTCTAACTGAGCAATAACTCAAACGATTTTAATTCTGAGAAGATTTAGAAAAGTTTTGAATTTCTTTCTTTTAAAACCAAAATTTTGACAAAAATACCCATGGTTTTCTTCTGTGTTTACATGCAGCCAGGAGCTATGGGCGGAGACGAGGTAATTAAAAAAAAATGTAATCTTTTGCTTGCCAAATTGTAAGTAGATATGGATGTACCTGTGTGTGAGGGGTTGGGGGGCTGGGCTGGGAGGGAGGATGAATTTATATTTATTGTGCTTACAGTATGCTCTAGTTTACTTATTTTAGAAGAATAGTTCAGTTATTGTTAATGGCTCAATTGCTTTTTATCTTTTGTTGGTAAACTTATTTTAATCCTAGTAAAGATATGACAAGATTGGGCATTTTAAACAAGAAACTTTTGGTTTGGGGCTTTTTGTGAATGTTTTTGATAAAAGCCAACTACAATCTCCATTCCTTAGTATTTGCTGTACTTTTAATAGATTTTTAAAGAAAAAAATGTAATAGCATTATTTGTTTGGGAGAGAAAATGTTTGATTATTGGATTTCTAAGCTGAATAATAACAATGATTATATCATATATCCCTGGGAAGATAGGAACTTCTTTGTGCTCCTAGCACATTATGTATCCTTATATGTATTTAAGAGATTAAACCTCTGCTTTGCCTTAGAAAACAGAACTAGTGCCAGTAGGTAAAAGGTGTAAATATTAGGTTTTTCACTCTATAAGGAAAAATTTCTGAACAAGTCTACCTGGCTAGAAGTGGAATGAAGTTCCATAGCAGGTGGTTTTCTAGTTCCTGGGAATCTTTTAGCAGAGGCTAAATTGTCCGAACATTATAGAAGACACTCGTGGTGTCAGGAATGATTGAATTAGGTACCATTTGAAAAAAAAAAGAATTAGGTGCCATTTAGAGGCCCTTTCAACTCTGAGCTTCCATTCATCTCCATCTAGAACCTTTGACTTTGGGAAAGGGCTTTCCCATCCACCTCTTTTCTCATTTGATCTTCAGGCAGTTCTAGGAGGTGGGTGTTACAGCATGCCCAATTCCAATCTGTCAGATCCAGAAATGGAAATACAAAAGGTCACATGGCAAGCTGGGGTTGCAGTTAGGACTGAGATCCAGGACCTTGCTTCCTTTTCCATCATTCTTTCCCTCACTCCTAGGCTGCTTCAGAGCTGTTGGTTCAGTGCTGAAAAGAACAGATTGATGTTTACAGTGAATTTGTAATGTTGCCAGTGCTTGAAGTTATTTAAATAATTATCTTTTATTTCCTTAATGCTAAAGAGAGTATAGCTCATAAGGCATTTAGACACAGCATTATGTAACATTGGAGGACATAATGGTTCTTAGTTTTGAAGGTGGTAATCAATGTGTAGGACGCTGGTTTTTTATGATTCCAAGAAGACAACCAATGGCAAGGGGAGAACCCACATTCAAAAAGGAAAATAGACACTGTCAATGACTAAGACATAGCATGAAGAGAAATTAGCGATCTCTGAATATTCATTCATCCAGTCGGTGACCAAGCCCTATGGAATCTCCCTGCACGATGTCTCTTGCATCATTCCTTTCCATTTCCACTGCCACCCACCATTTCATTCAAAACAAGTTCAAATTCCTACATCCAAGGTCTTCTAATGCCCAGCCAACTTTTCAGTGTGCCCTGAATGTGCCATATGTTTTCCAACTTCCTGAACTTTGCTCACGTTTCTTCTCTCTCCCTGCTTGGAATGTCCCCTTCCCTTCTTTCTGCTTTCTTTCCTTCAGTGGTCTGATAAAGTCCTATATCTTCCATGAAACTTCCCTAGTTACTCCAGACTGGGCTAATCATTCCCTTCCCCTGTATTGTTATCTCATTTATTGTCTATGCCATTCATTGGGCACTGCAGTGTATTGGGTTAATCTTTTTATGTATATGTCCTCTCTCTGCACCTGTATTGTATGTTCCCTAAGGTGTCCATCACAGTGCCTCACATACAAAAGACCCTTAATAAATGCTTGGTGGATTGTATTATATACTCCTTTCTATCCTCAGCACCTAGGACAAGGGTTCTTATCCTTTTTTGTGTTATGTATCCCCTTGGCAGTCTGATGAAATGCTTCTCTGGCTCCCTTCTCAGAATGATGTTTTGTTGCCTACATTCATAATGGGAGATCCTGAATTTCAGCTAGAGGTTAGTGAAAATAAAGATGCAATTTTTTTCCCCAAACAAATTCACAGATTACTTGAAATCGATCCATGGACTCCTGGTTAACAACCCTTGACCTAAGATTAGAGGATCAATGTATTTATGGTGATTATGATGATATTGGAACTGATCCAGGGGCTTCTAGGCATTTGATATATTTGACTGCCTTATTGTCCTGAGACATTTATTAAGAATTATTTGTGTGGAATACTATGCTAATAAGCATTTTTTAGAGTGATTTGGACCTCTATAATTACTGCCTAAGCTTATGATGGAATATTGTTGTTGAAAATAGGAAAGGAAAGTACAAACAGAATAAAGACTTGGAACATTTGTAAAAAATCAAAATTGATTGGGTAGTTAAATTTATAATCCCAGTCCTCTGCAACTGAGGAAAAATAGATATGTGTTCTGTGCTTCTTTTTGACCTTTTATTCACAACACTAAATATTTATTTTAGCAAATAAAAGTTTCTTTGCAATTCCCTAAGTCCTAGATTTCATACAAGAGACTTGTAGTAACCAAGCTCCATTTTGATGCTCTCTCCACAGCAGAAGCCCTGACTTAAACCAACATCTAACTCATCAGGGAAACCAATAGTGAAACAAAACTAAACCCAAGTTTGCTGTTTCTTGGTGATTTACAAAGTTAGATTGATTGGAGTCTTTAGCCAGAACATACACACTGCAGAAAGATCAAGTACAACTTAAGGACAGAAAGCAAGGAGAGAAGCTAAGGTCATCTAAAGATCAGAATTGGACCTCATCTTGTCTAATGCACCTGAAAAGACTTGATGGAAAAGGTACTTGGGGTATATATACATGCTTGAGAATGAGGAAAGGTAGGACTGGAACAGCTACTGAACTTAACTGAGTAAACAAATGAAGGGAGATAGTCTGGGTTGTCTTAGTATGAAGGGTATAAAATGTAAGAATCTTGCACTGATGTGTCAGGTATTCAAAAAGCAAGGAGCCTGGCCAAAGTAATGGGTGGAGAGGAGAACTGTAGCAATGGTGCTGGGTTCATGTGGATAGGCCTATGGTAGAGCCAAGGGCATGCTCAAAGAGAAATTCCTGATAGCAGAGGTCAGGACAAAGCTCTGACACTGGAAAGGAAGAAAAAAGTTCATAAACAAGGAAGATTATATAACAGGAAGAGAAAGCAGATCTTGGCAGTACTCATTTGTTCCAGCTGATGTAAAGTGTTTTCCTGATAAATAGGGTGTAAAACAGATACTTCATATCACATTTGAAATCATCATTTCCGTTCATTTCCAGTGCAGTTTTGAACATGTGCTCTGGAGGAATGGAAAAAAAGAGTGCTGAGTAAAGACAGAAGCATCATGGCGTAACAGAAACAATGTCAGATCTGGAAGGAATGGTACTGGGCTCTTTAAAAAAAAACCAAAACAATTTTTATTCTCAACTTAGAAACACACAACAGAGCATTTCCCTACACACACAGCAGGACATGAAAAGAGGATCCTCTATGGAAACTATAAATCTCCAATTCATGCTATGCACAAGAACTGGGTTCATATTCCACTTCTGATACCAGCTGTGTGACCTTGGGCAGGTAATAGTGCCCTCAGTTCCTTCATCTGTGAAACAAAGGAGTTGTACTAGACGGCCTCTGAGGTTCCTTTCAGTTTTAAGACTGTGAATGCTTAAAAAGACTTATTAAATTGGCCCAAATACAGGTTCTTCTTTCCCTCCAGACTGTAGTTGTAAAAACCAGAGGGTAGGCTATAATCAAAAACTGCAGAGAGAGTAGTGATGATTAAATAAAAAAAAGCAAACTATTCATTTAATGTAAAATGAACACATTTCACAGTAAAAATGTTTTTAATACAGTAATGTATAATTATTTGTCAATGTATGTACTTATCTGTGAGAGACAGCATGATATAGTAGAGAGCCAGCCTTGGAGTCAGAAAGACTTGGGTTCAGGTACTGCCTCTTTACAGATAGTGGCTGAGTGATCCTGAAAATATCACTTAGAACGGTCAGTGCCCCTAGGAAACTCTCTAAAACTTGTAAATTTCAGAGAAATTGCACATTTACATGGAGCAAATTTTGCTTATTGGGAGTTCAATTCCAATGAAATCACTGTTCTGGACAAAAAATACACATTATATATTTTCATTTTCATTCATATCATATTTCATTTCAATATATATGTCTTTGTCAAGGTTAAATTTCAGTTCTTTCAAACAGATTTGAAAATGATCATGTTCACTTTTAAACTTACCTCTATTTAAATCTATATTACATGACATCTAATTCATTTTAATTCTTGATAGTTCTGAGAGCCTCAGATGTCTAAGTTGTCACACTGGCTAGGCCTCTACCTATTTCACATTTTTAGAGAACAGCTCCTTAGCTAAAGAACCACATGCCCTCGAACTACTCTTTCTTGCAGATTTTAATGTTTGAAGTAGAATTTATCACTGCTCCTAGAGAAGCATGTTGACCTTAATGATGATAAAAGTCCTGAAGCCTTTTATCTGACTAAAAACAACAACCACCATTACCTGTGGACTGACAGCAAAGAGTCTTTCATATCTTAGCCAGAAACGTACCAAAGGAAGTAATCTTATCCAAACTTGACTAAGTGTTTTTCTCTAAGGCTTGCTTACAGCAGAGATTCTTTTTTTTTTTAAGGTAGAACCTCAGAGTAGTTTTAATTTATGTTTCTCTAATCATTAGTGATTTGGAGCACTTTTTTTTTCATATGGTAGCTTGGATTTTTTTTTAATATAAATTTATTTATTTTTAGTTTTCAACATTCACTTCCACAATTTTTTCAGTTCCAAATTTTCACCCCATCTCACCCCTCCTTCCACCCCAAGATGGCATGCATTCTGAATATCCGTTCCCCTGGTCTGTCCTCTCTTCTATCTCTTCCTCCTTCTCTTATCCCCTTCCCCTTCTATTTTCCTGTAGG